TAGACGTCGACTTGGTTAGTTAGTACTCATCAAAATGGACACGAACCCACTCCATCATATTCCTACCTACTAACCCAACCACCATGAACTTTTTCCTAGCATTTGCCCACGTACCATTCCACCAATTTCACCCCAATCATATAATTAACATGGACGGAATACACACCTTTACATGACTCAATTCCAATTCCAATTTCAATATAATTCAACCTAAGCTTGCTCAGGTCGACAAAATGCTTTCCATACAAAACTCCTAGAATAAGCTAACGTCTTCCTCTAATTCCCTGGTACCATAACATCAGAATCCCCACTAAATCGAGAGAGTGAAGCCATGAGTACCTTTACACCAGTTGGTTTTGAGCTAATGGCTTCCTCTAATCCCCTTCTCTCGTTCCCGGCTACAGCTTGTTGGCGGCTGTGCAATCTAGGAGGTTTGTGTTTGTCTGCTGGTACAAAGGAAAAGAGGGGTGCTTCTAGCGGCAATGATTTTTGCTGGGGCTGGAGGTCGGTGTTGGGGCACTCGCGGGACAACGCTCCGCGGAGGAGATCAGTGCTGGGGGTTTCATTTTACTTTGCTGCCATTGATATATATATCAGCAGAGTAAGGGTTAGGGGAATTATTAAGGTTATAGTGGGACGGGTTTTTTTATAATTCTATTTCAATAAAAATCCATTAATCCATAATTGGGATTAATCAATAATGGGTATTACTTCACCCAAACCCGATCCGAATCGATTTTTATTTTGACTTTGATTTTAGTTTGTTCAGTGGTGAGGAAATCTTGAAATCCCTGTCCAAAGGCTGGGCTGTGACCTTGGCGGTTTTCTGGACGAAGAGGTGGATCACGGCAGCAGCGGCGTCTGTGCCTCTGGTGTCACGGATCTCGTAGGATGATGCACTGGTCATCGAGCCTTTGACTGTTGTAGAAGATATCCTACTCGTCGATGTCGACGAAGCCTTTTCCCTCTTGGAAGGTGCGGTGTTTTAGGTATCCGACATTTTGGTACCGGTCGATGTGGAACTTGAATTCCTGGCCGCAGGTGGTGCGGAGGTGATGAGGTCGGAGAGCTTGAGGACCAAGTGGAGGACGTTTCCGCTGGTGATTACGTATTCTTTGGTAAGATTAGGGCTGAAAATTGTCCTAACCCGTCCCTGGTCCTGTCTGACCCGTATGTGAAGGGTCAAGATGTATAACTGACTCATCCCGTCCCTGTCTTCTTCTGGACCCTCTCCAACCCTCAAGGGATGGGACGAGTCGGGTCATGGGTCGACCCTAATCTACACACTACCTTTTTTATAAATTACGTTTTGGTACCCAAAATTATTTATTTTACAATTTAGTACCTAAAATCTATTTTTTTTACAAACATGTCCTTAAATTTTGATGGTAAAATTACATTTTGGTACCAATTTTTTAATTTTTTCAATTTAGTACCTAAACTTTTAAAACTTTTACAAAGAGGTCCAATGTGGTATGAGATATTTGTTGTTGCTAAGAGTCACAGGGTCAAAAAGTGATTTGTCCCTAAGTTGACCCGTCCCGACCCTTAAAGGGTCAAAAACTGACCAGTCTCTAAACTGTCCCTATAGACAAACTAACCCATCCCGACCCTCAGGGGCGGGATGCGTCGAGACGGGTCAGTGGGTTTTTAGGGTCAAACTTACACCCCTAGGTAAGATTAGCGCTCAAGGAGAGCTATCGGCCTCCAAACACCAGTTTTTGTTGGCAAAAGTTGTGGGGGATTAAAAGAGATTAGTTTTATTTTGGAAAAATACACCTGTATAGCGATAACTTTCACACTTTTGACAAATATAGCCATTACTATTCGAAAACCAGAAATAGCCAATTCCGTTCATTTAGGTAACGGTGTTAGTAGACTTTATGAATGGACTAACGGCAGTCGCTGAGTTGGCCACTGAGTTACCAGATGTATCCGATGTGGAATTATAGACGTGGAAAAAAAACTTAAAAAAAAAAACAAAAGATGAAAGCGACCCAGCTGGCCACCACCACTCGTCCATTCTTTCTTATCTCTTCGTTTTCTTTTCTCACCTCACTTCCTCCGACCACGAGACGACGACGATGGATTGATTCCATCCCCCTTTTCCGATCTTCCTCCGATAACCCCCTTCCAGTTTTCGTCCATCGCCCTAATCGTCTATAAATCCCATCCCAACCCCGAAAACTACAACTTTTATCATCCCCCGATTTCGCCTCCCTTCCAATGGCGAACTCTGACATGCATCCTGACTAATCGACCGGTGGCCACCGTTTCCCGACGCAACCCAAGCATCCTAATACTGAAGAAAGCATCGACGAAGCCTAGAAAAATCTTTTCTCACTGTTTCTCCAAAACCCTAATTTCATAGTAGAAAGTGATTTCTGGCGCGATTGGTGAGTTTTTAGGGAGAGGGGAGAGGTTGGTTGGGGGTTTCCATTATGTGTATGTTGTTTCTTACCTCCTCTTGTGTCTTTTTGTAGTTGTGACTCGCTGTAAAGAAGGAAAGCGACTCTACTGATTGGAAAAGGGACCACTTAGGATTGAATCTGTGATTTTCGCGAGATTGCCCCTTAATCCGACGATGAGTGCCTCCAAATCCTGGGTAGAAGAGTCATTGTTGTCGTTCTTTGTCAAAAATCCTAGAATAGAATAATGGTGGAAGATCGTGCTACTGTTTATTTGTTAGTGAATTAAAATAGGCAAAATATATCTTGATTAGGGTTACTAATGACTTTATTTATTGGTTTATTAATTCGTGTTTATCTTGTATAGGGTTTAGATGGCTGATTCATACGAGGAGCAAGGTGGTGAGAATGATCCTAATCACGTAGGATCATAGAACGCTAGCTTTGGTAATTTGGCTCGTGAAGATGAAGTTGCATCTGTGGTACGAGATGTGTTCCATATTTACGATTCTGACGATGCAGACACGTCTGATGATGAGTACCATGATGCTCGGAACAATTTATGCGCCTATGGGGAATGAGAAGGAGGAAGGTGAAGGCAAGGAGAGATGGTCATGGGGAGGAGGTTGAACAACTAGATGAGTATGAGGAAGCTGTTTCTGACAATGGAGCAGAAAATGAAGATAATTTGGAAGAACCTGATCAGGAAGCAGTAAATGATGGTGAACCAAGTCAAGTAGTTGAAGATGATGTAGTCGAAGATGATGGTGCACCTCCTGTTCAAGAACCAAGAAGAGAAGACTCTCAACACTCTAGCTACAGAGTGTCGGAGGAATCTCATCATGTTAGGGGCAACCTTTCGAACGAGGATGGTGGAGAGCCATTTGGGGATGCTCCACACTATGATCCAGACTGTGATCACAAGAAGTTTCAATTTAGCCCATGCTATGTATTGGGGTGCTAAATTAGGTTGTGTGAGGAACAAATGCATGTCTCAAAATTCAGATTAGATTTGTAGTGTATGGAACAGATGGTTGTGCTCCATTTGGATTATATATTGTATTGTAGGAACAAATGGTTGTGTAATGTGGAAGTTTTTGGTAGTATATTGCACCTTGTATTTTAAATTCAAGCTATCCTCACTTTTTACAAACACTAGATATTTGAACAACATCTTACCATCCAGGAAAGACAACCATTGCATTAGCCAAGTAGAATTGTTAACATTAGACAAGAAAGACAACCATTACATCAGACAAACATTACATACCAGATTCGTATCCCCAACAAGAAGGAAAGAGGCATTCACAACAAGAAGAATTGTTAACATAATACGAATAAATCGAACATCATCATTCAATCTCCTTCCTTAAGCTAATAGAGTCTCACGATCTTTCATCCAGACCATCATATCTTGAGCTAGTCTCTTTTTCTCCTTCTTCCTCCTCTCTGCCTTAGACTCAGCGAGGAGCAAACTGTCCTCGAGTTTCCATATTAGGCTCTCCATAGAACCCTTTCGGTCCTCCATTTCATCCCAAACCATCTCAACCCACCTAAAAAACCGATAATTTTTTGTCCCTGGATTTTCACTCTCATTCTGCACTATCCATATGGTATAGTTAGAGGTAAGAACACTCAAAGGGACCAAAATAACTCGAGAATCAATCTATCACTTACCTGCTTCCAATAAGGACGTCCATAAAATTGCCTGCCTGGGTTAGTCTCGGTACCCGACGTCTTAATCACAGCGGGAACGTTGTGCTTGCAAAGCACAGTCCCACAACCGTTGACGTTGGTCGCTGGGAAAGAGCCCCGCTGTGACATCGCTGCAAATCGAGAAAATGAAGGGGATTTCGGAACGGCAGATGCGCGAGCAAAAAAGGACTGAATGACGGGGATGGTGGTCTCGAGCGACGGCGTCGTGGTCTCAAACGGCGGTGTCGTTGTCTCGAGCGGCGGCGGCGTCTCCACCAAATGCGAACCCTAAATCGTGAGAATTTGCTTTTCGGGTTGTAGGGAAGGAGAAGGGAAGTAAGTAAGCAGATATTAATTTTTTTTATTCTACACGTGGCATTCCACGTGTACATTTTGCTGAAGTGTCAATCATGTGGAGGTCGGATTCCGTCCTCGTCATCATTCCGTCAAACGATTTAATGGAACCACAGACGGTGTTAAAGTTTCTAACGTTTTTTGCTAGATTTGTCACACTACCCTCTGTCTTTTGGGCTATTTGTGGTTTTCGAATAGTAAGGTCAATATTTGTCAAAAGTGTGAAAGTTATGGCTATACAAATGTATTTTGCCTTTTATTTTTATTTTTTCATTTTTGAATTGGTTGGGATAATGAGGTGGAAATTTGAACATATTAAATTTATTTATTATTATTATTTTTAATTGACACATCACTGATTTAATAGTCAGTTATGATTGTTGATTGCTACATAGGATAAAGATAACGGAGACTCAAAATATGACTAAATTTAAACGGTTGAATTAATATTAATAACCAACAGTAAAATAAAATAATTTTAGTAACAAACTTGCAATTTATCTTGGAAGAAAATATAAGGGTCAGTTAGAAGCGGTTAAAGCCCGACCCACCGTACATAAAGTGGGCGTCACCATCTCCGGCACTCCATCCGATCCGATACGATCGATCTGTTCTCTCTCTCTCTCTCTCTCTCGGGTCTCGACTCTCGACCCTTTCGCTTTTTTTCCGATATCTCAGGACCCGATAAACCCTCGCCTATAATCGAAGCAGCAGTCTGCAGAGTAAAGTAATGGGCTCCGACCAAAAACCCGCCATCTCCATCTTCATCGGGTGTGCCTTCCTGGTCTTCAGCCTTGGCATTCCACTCGTCTCCTCCCTACCTTTCGTCGTCTTTCATGGTAAAGATTTTCCTTTTTGCTGAAGGCCTAGTTAAAATTGTTGGTGTTTGAATTATCTCCATCTACTTTGAATTGAGCGCTTTGTGTTTCCCCCTTTTTTTTGTGTCAGGTATTGGTGATCATTGTGGCAACAAGGGAATATCTCAGTTCGTTGAGCTATTAAGTCAGTGGTCTGGCTCTCAAGGATATTGCCTGTATGCTCCATTTATTTATATTACTGTTTACCTAAGATCCTTTTGTCCCATGTCAAGCGAGTTGTGTTTCATGGTGCCTTTTCCCGTTTTCCAGTGAGATTGGAGATGGGGCATGGGATTCTTGGACTATGCCCCTTCTTGATCAGGTTATTTTGTGGCTTTATGCTCGTCTGAGTATCTTTTCCTCAAGGGCTTTTCCTGCTATCTAACACTTCGTTGTTATACTTTTTATTGCAGACAGCTGCGGCCTGCGAGACGGTGAGTAAGCTACTGCAAAACAGAATTTGCGTCCTGCTTCATTTTTTGTTTTCGGATCCGGAGTTCAATGCTTCGGTTGTATTGCAGGTGAAGAAAATGGGCGAACTCAGCAGTGGTTACAACATAGTTGGTCTTTCTCAGGTGGTCAATAATTTGAAATCTGCTGTTTCGGCAGTTATAATAGAATACAAATATGATCCTTGGTTTTGTTATGCCTATCTGTATGGTGATACTCACTCATATGTCAGACCAATATTTGTTCTTATATCAAATGTTTGTTCTTTATACAGTGCTCTTGGTGCCTGCTTGTTTTCTGCACTCTGCCTCTTGGTTTGATACTACAGTGTTCTAATTCTTATGGATAATAATTTTTCAGGGCAACTTAATTGGAAGAGGGATTGTTGAATTATGTGATGGGGGACCTCCGGTACGATTTTATCTGATACAAACTTATATGCTACCTATGTGCTCCATCCCATTACTATGTAAGACAAAAGTCTTTCTTGAACCATGGCAATTAACGAAAAAAGATGTGTCTTGAATGATGTTTTAACTGGTAAAGCTAGCTTAGTGGTGATAGATATATATCCAACTACTTAATCTTTATTTGCTACCCCCCGTCTTTGATAGAGTACTTGCTTTTTGTTTCTCTCCTTCTGAAACACTTTTTTGTCATGTATGTATCTCTAACAGGTAAAAAATCTTGTGTCTCTGGGTGGTCCTCATGCTGGTACTGCTTCAGTTCCAATGTGTGGAGTAGGTGCCACTGAACTAGTTCCACTGAATTGCTTCCTCAGTTTGCTTTCGCTTGCAGAGAAGATGACTATGACTACTAATGCTCCTCTTAATATGTGTGCCCTTCTATTTTTCAGTCTGGCATTATATGCATTATTTTGGATGCATTGCTCAAGCTAGAGATATACAGCAACTATGTCCAGGTATGTGCTAGTCACACAAATTGCAGATGACTATTAGTGATTCTATTTCATTGGAGCTTCTTTTCGACTCCAGGATAGAAGGAAGACCAATGTGTATTGGTTGTTGAGATCCTTCTGAAAGTCTCTATCTTTCTCATTTGATTGCAGGAACATTTGGCTCCAAGCGGTTATCTCAAAATCCCAACTGTAAGAACATAGCTTTTCTCGATAAATGTTCTGACAAGACCTACTATTTTTGTTTAACTCATGATATGCGTCAAGCCTCCAGCCTGACCAATCTTTCTACTGCTGAATATCAAAACCACACATTGCTAGATCATTACGTGAGTTTTAAGTGGATAAATCATGTAACTGGGTTTCTTTTGTAACTTCTGGTCTGCGATATGATTACTTCAGCTGCGAGATTGCTCCTTAAGTGCTGTTTTATTCTGTAGGATATTGATGATTATATGAAGGGATGTAGATTTCTACCCAAGATTAACAATGAAATCAAAAGCCTGAGAAATGCTAATTACAAGGAGAGGCTTACCAGCTTGGAGAATTTAGTGTTGATCATGGTGAGTTTTCACTTTGTTAGTGTCTTGTGATCTACTTTACATCTTCTGCTTACATGTATTCTTCACAGTTTGATCAGGACACAATTTTGATACCAAAAGAAACTGCTTGGTTTGGGTATTATCCTGATGGTGGCTTTGGTTCAGTGCTGCCTGTAAATGAGGTGATCTTCTGCTTCCTGAGATTTCTACTAATGAATATGATGATGAGGACTTGAGTTCTCATGTTGAGTTTTTGTCTAGTGCTTAGTCAGCCACTTCCTGTTTAGTCACTCTTTAAGTCAAACTTCAAGCATCAATGAGCTCCATGACTGTTAATTTGGAACCTTAGCAACAAGGTCGTAGATCATAGTGATAGAAACCCAGTGACCAACGTTAACGGGTCTTCCACCATTATTATTATTATTAGGATATTCCTTTAAGATTAGTAGTATTTGAATTGTATTAAATTAATTATTAGGATTTTCCAGAATTTCATATATAAATATAAAAATATCCCCCAAATCTCTAATCTGTCTCTCTCCGTCCTATCAAGGCCGTCGGCCCTTCTCCTCTTGCCAATTCTCTTTTTCAATTTCTAATCCCCCAATTTTGTGCTTCCTATCTTAAATTCCTAATTTTTTCCGATCATCTCTCAAATTCCTAAATCTTCAAATTTGTCTTGTAATCCCTAATTCCCAAATACCAACTAGAACCGAAGGCACCCTAAGTCACGGGGTTTCATACACATTGAGATGGGTTGATAATTTAGGCCCATTTTAAGGTGGAATAAAAAATTTCCAGCCAAGTAGCTCTTATCTCTTAAAACCCGTGTAGTTCTGACAACGAAATCCTGGTCCTGACCATAATATTAATGACTGTTTCATATGGATTAGATATGCTGTCATTGCCCTAACTTCCTTCAACCAGAAGCCAGAACGCTATACTCATTCCTAATGTACTATGTATTCCTGCAGACTCAGCTCTATATCGAAGATTGGATTGGAGTGAAAGCCTTGGATGAAGCTGGAAAAGTGACGTATGTGACCATGTCTGGTAATCATCTTGAAATATCTGAAAGTGATATGAGAAACTACATCGTGCCATACTTAGAGGATAGCACATCAATGAAGATCACGACACCCGAATCCCCTTCCATCCGCCCATGGTATTCATCAACCCTAGACTTTCTACTCGAACTGACTGGACTAACACAAGGTCAAGGTCAACCTGTTTTGAAGATTGTCTCTTGAAACACTCAAGTAATATCTCAGGGTGAACTAGGGACTCCCATTGTATATTATTCGAGAAGGGCTCATCCAAGGGTTACTTTTCTGTATCAAAGAAAGTGAAATATAGACCTCTGCTTCTGGAATAGTCTGTATGGAAGCACTTCTGAATTCTTAATGGAGGTTATATTTTTAAAAGAATATGTTTAGTTAAAATCTTGTGTGGAAAAATCTTGTCAGATTAAACTTGGGTGAAGAAACAAGTTGTTCTTGTGATGTGTTTTTGGTTTTTCTTTTTAAGGTTGTCAAACCGGTTTATACCATTTCGTCGGTTTAACTAGTGGAATGGTACGATCAGTGGTTTCTAACAGGTTCATGCTAACTTAATTAAATACGGCATTTCAAACAAAATAATAAATACTCATATTTAAATACAACATTTAATTTCAATATCTAAACTTTTATACATGAATTCAACAAATTATATCAACTTTTAACTTCTATATTCATAAAACATAAAATAAATTCATTTTTTATCAATCAAATTTACTAAAACATCATTTACTTAGAGTTTGTCAATCGATCACGCCGACCATACCAATGATATTTATGTCGGTTTCAGGACCAGCACTAGTTGAACCAGGGTTAACCCGGTCGTCATGACAACCATGGTTTCCCCCTTCTTTTGGTAGAAAGTGATGCATTTTAAAGGGATCGGATCATGTTACAACCCGAACTTTCTACCAAAAAATAAGGGAAAATGTGTTGTCATATTGATATCCAATTTGCTACATTTGAGCAAAGAAAAAATAACTCTTCAAAATACATGTCGGTTGTAGTATTATCAATGTCATATCAACCATATTAGTCATATCAAGCATAAGACCTCATACTAACATCATATCATCATGACATGATGACAGTGATATGATGACACATCTCTTTCATTTCAACTAAAAATTAAAAAATAATTGTATAGAAAGAACACATTCATTAAGATTTACATAGTTATATTTTTTAAAGGAACTCATATGGACTTGATATGATATCCATATGAACTGACATGATCTTGATATGAATGATATAGAACTGATACGCTCTTAATATGAATAACATGAACTTGATATGAACTTATATGTGGACTAGTTAGTATAACACCCCTTGTGTTGTTATTGTAACAACACTAGTCTTCAACCAATAAGAAGCTAGGGATGTGATGATTTTTTATTAGTTGAGTTGACCTAGTGTAAAATCAAAGCAGGGATATAATTGTAATTCTTAAAATTATGTTTAAATAATAATAACAAATTAATAACAAAAAAAATCAAATATTTAATTTTTTTTATTTTATGCCCAAAATTTCGTCTCCAGAATCTGACCGCCGGTCACCGGAATATGCCCATCGTCGCCGGAATCCAATAATCGTGGTTGGAATATGCTTACCGGCGTCGGAATCTACTCATCTAGACCGGAATATGCTTATCGGTGTTGAAATTCGGTCACCGACGATCATCTGAGTTTTGTCAACGGTCAACGATCACCGGATGTTATGGTCTGTATTGTGAGAATTATGGTTTGGTTTCTCACTTTTTTAATGCATTTTATGGTTTGCTTTATCGTTTTCTGGTTTGCATTAAAAAGTTTATGGTGTGCTTTAAAAAAAAATTGGTTTGCTGTGCAGGGTTTCTGGTTAGTTTTAATAGATTTTTGGTCTGCATTAGGACGTTTCTGGTTTGTTTTTTGTGGTTTACTTTATCGTATTTGTGGATTGCATTATGAGGTTTCTGGTGTGCTTTCGAAAATTCTGTGGTTTGGTTTGTGAGGTTTCTGGTTTGTTTTAGGAAATTTGTGGTATGTATTGGGTGGTTTTTGGTATTCTTTTTGTCGTTTGTTTTATCGTGTTTGTGGTTTGTATTATGAAGTTTCTGGTGTGCTTTAAAAATATTTGTGTTTTGTTTTGTGGTGTTTCTAGTATGTTTTAGACGATTTGTGGTATATATTAGGAGATTTGTGGTGTGCTTTAATAATATGTTTTAAAAGATTTGAGGTATACATTAAATGATTTTTTTGCCATATTTTTGTGGCCAGATGGAGAAACACACCACCAAAATCTGTAGCATCATCACTTGAGTTGCTACTTGCAAGTTACTACCTACATCCATATAACTAAAAGAAGCATATACAGTTCCCTCAAGTAGCACTACACAACCGACATGGATCCAAATGACATAATCCTAATAAAATCCAATAAATACCCAACCAATGTAAGCAGACAGTGGAAATAATATAGTGATGAAGAAGGCTTGACAATCAAAATGAAATGCAACAGATGAAACTAACCGTAAGGGTAGGGTAATGGCAAATTCTCTACATCCCACGCTACATATTTAGGTTTGACTAATAAATCCATGACCATGGAGGACATACAGAAGCACTTGATCAACCATGCACTGCTCTCACAACTCCAAGAACGTCTCTGAAATCCTAATTGCAACACGAAACCCAGATTCTGATTCTAGATCACAAATCCAATTCCCACGAAGAACAAAGACTAAGAATCGAGTAGAAGAAATAGAACTGAACCAATGCCTTGATCCTCCCCAAGGCCCCCGTGAGCGCTTCTCGTACAATGATGAATCCAAAAGTTTCCGCGACGGCGAAGCTGCGGTTCCTGGCGAAGAATCGGCCAGACAATCGAGCATTAATCGGCGAATCCGACGTTAATTCCTCTTCTCCGGTGTAGCAATCCGTTGACCCAGGAGAACGCCGTCACGACTCCGTTGAATCTCTCCCTACACGAAGGCAACAAGGACCACCAGAGCTATCAAATCTCTGGTCTACGTGTTGAAGAAAGGGACGGAGACATCCACGGCCGGCAGAAGAGCTGCCTCAAATCGTCGCCGCCACATATTACGACTCCAGATCTAAGATGATGTGGCTATGGATTCCACGATTTCTGATTGGATGGTGGAATCCAAGTCTCGAAGACGGCGAATGAAAGGGGCCTTCTTTTGGTAGCACACCAGCGCCCGGCGCTCTCCGTATCCATCGTTGTCGCACTGAACTCGTCGGCGGTGGTGTGGTTGTGGTCGGGAGAGAGTCGACTGGTGCGATGGCGCCGACGATGGCAGAGGATTGGCGCTGGAGAAGAAGAAAAAATTGTTGTTAGAAGGTATAGATCTGGCTGCTGTTGTTGGGGAGAGAGATAAAACACGCTTAGGGTATTTAGTTTTTGTTTATTGATAATTAGTTATTTATTGTTAGTTTACTATTATGCCCTTGTTGTTAGTATAACAACAATTAAGGTGTTGTTAAACTATCCGCACCCACTTATATGATATTGAAATTAGCTGATATGAACTCGTATGAATTTATATGAAAAATAATTTGAACTGATATGATCGTGATACGAATGATATGATATGATATGAACTTATATGATATTGACTTGAACTGATATGATATTGATACGGATGACATAGAACTGATACAATCTTGATTGAATGACATAAACCTGATATGAGGACCTTGAAAAAAATTTGTTCCAAAAAATATTAAAATGGATATCATCTTGTAAAGTACAAAAGATATGATTTTTCTTTGCAAAATTATTGAAATAGACGTAAAATGAATGCGCTATTGTTCGTTGAATGTTCGTGAAAACTGACTAGGAAACCATTCCCGCTCACCCCAAATTCCCGGAACGGGCAGTAAAATCCGGACAAGCCTCTTTTTTCCCTCTCTACCCCTTTATAATATTGACTATTAAATCTCTCGTTCTCAAATTACAAATGTTAGATCTAGTTTTATAGTACTACAAACCAATGGGGTTTTGTAAATACTTCCAAACCATTAATTACATTTCTCTTCCTCTCTCTCACTTTTCCTTCTCCAATAGCCTATTTGCATTTCACTAGAGAAATTCTTCCAAACATATTCCTTGAGGCAGACTCCCGCCTCCCACCTAGCAACAAAAAAAAAGTACCACTGCATTAAAAATGTACCACTAGACTAAGAAAAATAGTACCACTACATTAAAAGTGGTCAGGTACCACTCTAAAATAATATCACTATTAAATATTACCACTATATCGATAACATTACCACTAGAATAGAAAAACTACCACTTGATTGAAAATCACTACCACTACACTAATAACATTACCACTAAACAAAAAATCACTACCACTAGATTGAAAATCACTACCACTACAATGATATAAGTACAACTAGAGTGAAAATATTATCACTAGACTGAAAAACATGACCAATAGACCAGAAGCAAAAAATCCATATCTGTGAACTGAAAGGTTACAGATTTGGAAGAAGCTTAGGGGAGGGAGGAAGAGTAGTGGCGGAGGGGGCCACATTGGGAGATGAGAGAAGCAAGGGAGGGCTGGGCTGGGGAGACGAAGGAAGGTATGTAGAATTTAGGAGAGACGACGATGATGGAGGGCGATATCGGGGGAGTGCTGGATTGGGGAGGCAACGATGCCTACTCCTTTGCGTCAGCAGCGACCTCGCGCCAGCGACGAGCAGGGGAGGCGACACTAGGGGAGGGATTAGGTTGAGACGATTCACAATGGGAGAGGAGAGGGGAGGCGACGGTGGGGGTGGGGTTGGGGTTAGGGCTGGGTTGAGATGAGAGGGAGAGGAGAGGGGGAGATGATGGTAGGGAGGAAAGAGGGACACGGTGGCAACTAGAGTGAAAGGGGGAGATAAGGAGGGGATAATTTTTGTTTGTTAATGGAGAGGGATCACATGTGTTATTTTTCCCCGTCCGAAAATGCCCTTGACCCAATCTCATCCATTAGTTAAAAAAGCAAGAAAGAAAAAAATCCAATGGTGTATATAGTGAGTTGTCAAAATGAGGAACAAATCTTAAACTACAAGACTTACCCAAAAAAATCCTCCAATACAACACTTATCAATATATTTCTCAAAACACCCTAGGGATGTTTATTGCATAGTCCAGCGAACCAAGTAGTGGTTTGCGGGTATGAAGAGTGATCCACTTGTTTGCTGACATGGGTCACGATCATTGGCTTATGATTCACTTATTCTGGAAGCAAACCAATTTTGTTCTCTGGTTAGACAAGACAAAGTCTTTGGTTTGTTGGATAGATAAGTGAACTATTGTGCCTCGTGGGACAGGAAAGCGAATCAATGGTAGTGTTACTCACTAGTTAGGGTAGCGAACTACCATGGTTGCCGAAAGGGAAGCTCACTAGTTGCAATAATTATGTGTAGTCGTTCACCCACCACCCCCCCCCCCCCTCCCACATTAATGCTTCATAATAGGTTGCAGGGATAAGGACTCTTAGTGGTAGTGGATCACTGGGGTCAAAGGCAAACTACTCCTCAGTTGAATGAAAATAAATACGCAACTCCTAGCCCCCTCCCATTTTTGCAGTCTTCATTCAACTCTTCATTCTCCAAAACAAAAACAACAAAGAAGCAACAAGAGCACCAAAAGTCTTGCATTTAAGGAGGTTCATCGAGCTTCTGCCATTTTAAGGTATGTTTTTGTTATGTTGGTTATACCATGTCTTACATTAGGCCTTGAATGTAGGTTGAGTGTGGATTAGAGTTTTGGATTAATGCTTGGTAATTATATTTAGATTGTATTCTGTTGGTTTTTATATTTAAGGTATGTTATATTGGTTCATTGAGTTTCTGCTATTTTCATGTATATTTTGTTTTGTTGGTTGTAACATTGGTTACATGAGCCTTTGAATTTAGGTTGAATGTGGATCAGGGTTTGGGAAAATGTTTCGTGGTTATATTTAGATTAAGATCTCCATGAATTGTATGTAATTTATGTTATTTTAAATTGAAAAAATGGGAAGGAAATTCCAAAATTTCAACTTATCGACTTGGTGGAATGGTCAAGTGTTGATTACGAAGGTGGTGAGGCAAGCATTGTTCAGATTGAGAACCATTTAGTTGGCAGGATCTCTTCAATATATGTGAAGAAATGTGTTGCATAAGTGGTCGTCGAAGAGTATGCAAGATGACATTGACCCTTGCTTGTACATCACGTCCTAGTCCATCTCCCTAGGCTCTATGCTTATTACGAACTCGATCTGCAACCAGAGTCACATGTCTGAGGGGAACTGGAGGTGGTGTTGTAGTGGATGAAGAAGGATTGTAGAAATTTCTCGTCGGGCATTGGACGGGTGGTTGTGGCATTTGGAATAAGCCAACATTGGGATACCTATAATAAGATGGCGTAGTACTTGATAACCCTCCTCCAAATAGTTGGGGGCAGTGCTGAGCTTGATGATCCTCTTCCAAATTTCATTACGACAAGCTAAAATGGATATTCGTATGAGACTAGAATTCTCACCTATTCTTGTACTTCCGCATGAATTCTTAGTGCCGAAGGGAGATATTTACTTCTCCTTGGCGGCGTTGGCGTGTGATTCGGGCCTAATTGCACATGTTTTGCCCCCGTTTTACTAAGATGTTTGTGCCAAATTCGCTCCTAAAAGTTTGGTTTTACGCTAGGTTCTTCGTGTTTGAGTGTGTTTCAGGATTTAATAGGTGAAACCAACATCGGAGTCGAAAGATTAGCGAAAAGGATTGAAAACCGGGAGAAGAGGTGCAAAAGAGCCAGTTCACGGCTAACTGAGGGAGTTTACGGTCATCCAAGACCGTGAAGAAGAGGATTTGATCGTGAATCGCGAGGCGTCCAGAGCCAATGTGAAGGTTACTGACGTATGGTGAGTTCACGGTCACTAAGATTGTGAACACAAGCAGTTGACCGTGAACGAACGTGAGCGATGCGGCGCGTTTTGGCACACGCCTGGATTTCATGGACGTGCTTCATGGTTCACGACCGTGAACTCAGGTCGTGAACTCAGCTCATCTCGGGTTCAAAAGATGATCTGAAAGGAGGAGAGAGGGGAGAGGCCACTTTTGTCAGTTTGTGTGAAACACCTTCTTCAACATTCTAGTGAGAGAAACAGAACCAAAGGGAAGAAGAAGGTTAGGGTTTGGCTTCAAGGCAGATTTTTGGAAGATTTCCCCCAAGGAAAGCTCAACTCAAGGGTCAAGGAGACTAGGAGCATCCTCAATGATGGTTTCCAACTTTTTTCCTTTTGTTTTCCCACTTCTAGCATGGAGTAGACCTCTTTTCACTTGGGTGTAGTGAAACCCTAACTCTACCATGTAGTTTTCTTGTATGTGTTTTGGATGATTGTCATTGGGTATTGTTTAATTCAATGATTGAGGCATTATTTATCATGATTGTGCATACTTGTGCTTAGCAATCTAGGGGTTGTGCATGTTTTGTGCTTAGCATCCTTAAGTTTGTGCATTTAGGTGCTTGGCAACCTAAGGATTGTGCATAATTGTGCTTAGCACTCCTAGGTTTGTGCATTTAGGTGCTAGTAATCTAATTTGCCACCTTGGCCTAGCTTAGAGAGGATATCCCCTTTCAAGGGAGACTCAATCGAGTTGGTTTTCCATATGCTTTATAAGCCACCTAAACTAGGTTAAGTTAGGGCGACCCTCAATATTGAGTTAAGCAAGTCCATTAATCGTGATTAAACCGTTCGATCTTAGAGTTGAGTGAGGGAGTAAGTCAATTACCGATTGTTTAAACCGAGAGGGTCGAGTGACACGGCCTTTCATCCTTACCTCAATTTAGCAATTGAGACTGTGGTCTCCGACCACATATGCATTCCTCTGTTGTTCATGATTAACGTGCCCAAGGCAATCATTCCAATCCAAATAGCATGGTAGCGGTTAGGGGGAAGCGACACCCGAGTGACTTTCCCACAAAAGAGTTTTCAAATCCAATCACCTTTGCATTCTTTTATTTCAATTAGCAAACCTTTAAATCAAAGTTTTGTTGCTAGATAATGATTTCAACAACTGAAGTAGGGAAAGACGGACCGGCCTGAGTCGATATTTAAATACTTGCCCTATACTGCACCCGATTAGAGTTTAAGAACTTGGGCTCTAATTGGGGTTTTATTGTGGTGTAGTTTCGTGCGAGTCAAGTTTTTTGCGCTATTGCCGGGGACTTCGGGGTGTTTTTCTGAAAAAGTTGTTGGTTGTTAATCTAGCTTTTAATTTCCAGTTTTGCAAGTGTGTTCTTTCCTTGTGCTAGACTTGGTGTGTTTTCTGATTGTATGTAGGTGGTGCATGATTCGGAGCAACCCGACACCTTTGCTACCACTTGACGAGGACATAAAACTGGCTCTCCGACTCCTAGGAAGCCCCGACTTTGATGGGAATCTGTATGACCCCACTTGAAGCGAAGTTAGATCAGTTGATCAGGGTGATGCTCGAGGATAAAGGACATGTAAGCGGGGTAGCAACACATATGGAGTGGGGTGAAAGTTGGAACCATGAGGAAGTAGAGTACCACCGGATGACCCGCCTTGAGGAGGTGGTGAAAAACTTTTTCGCCTCCATCTCTAAAAAGTTTGAAAGAATCGACAGATTCATTGGAGAGGCAACAGAGAAGTTCTCGACCATAGAGGCAGGGTTGGAGATTCAGGAAACCCACTTGATCAACCTGGCCATAAGCATAAGGGGAATCTCGCAAGCGGCTCTGTCTTGGAAATTAGTTGACGAAGTTGACGTGGTAGCCATGACTCTTCGAAGTGGAAGAGAGGCCAAAGAGCTACCCCCTAAGAAGAAACAACTCGCAACAGAGGAGCAACAAGGGGGCGGTAACCTCCCCTAGCAGCCGGAAGCCACAAGTGACAGGGACCTTGACTCTACGACCCCTCAACCGACCTCTCAAGAAGAGGATATCACTCCGACCCCTCAACCAGAGAAAGAAAAGAGGAAAGCAACCCCAACTCTCCCTTATCCTTCACGGCTTCGCAACGACCCCATGGCGGCAGAGTTCTCCCACTTCATGGAGTTGATGAACCAGTTGCATTTGAACATCCCCTTCTTGGAGGCCGTCACCCAAATGCCCAAGTACGCAAAATAACTAAAAGAACTCCTCACCAACAAGAAGAAGCTTGAGGGGGTAGCTACTGTGAGCTTGAATGAGGAATCCTCCGCCCTCGAGCAGAACCACTTGCCCGCGAAACGCAAAGATAGTTTACTTATTAGTTTTAGTTCTTTTTTAATTAGTATTATGTTTCGATTTATTTAGAGATTTGTTTTTTAATCTCTATAAATATTGGGTGTAAAAGCTACAAATTTTATACTCATTATTCAAGTTATCCATCAAAGTTGAGTTTTAGTTCATTGTGAACGAGCTCTTTTGTGCAAAGCTTTCTGTCGAGGATTCCAGGAGGTTTTCACGTGTCTCTTACCAACTAGAGAACGCGTCTAGTTGTGGCGAGCATCGACGATATCGATTAGCCTTATCCACGAGTTGGAGATTGTTTGATTGGTTTCATATACCAATTGGCCCTTCTCACGAGTTCAGATCTGTTTGATCGATTCCGCATTTATGTTTATTTTTCTTGTTATCAAGAAAGGAGAAAACCCTAAAAAGAGTTCGACATTGTGCAATTCTGTTTTTTGGTCCAAATTTGGGAGGATTCTTGAATTAGGATCATATCAAGTGGTATCAGAGTCAGGTTCAAACACAGCATCAACAAGGAAGAAACAAGACATTCGGCATGTTGTAGCAAGGACGAGAAAGAAGGACCCCCCATCGCACACCGGAGGAAAGAGAGTCTGATTCCGAACTCGAAGAGGAAATCCAGTGTGACGATTCGACCATGGTGGGACAAAAAATTAATATGACTGAATTGCTGCAAACAATCATGGCGCAGATGAATGCTACGTTTTAGGTTCAGTTCGATCACATCAACCAGCAATTGGCAGAGTTGAAGTCGACGACGGTAACAGAGCCAAAGTCGCCGGAAATAATGACAAGACACGAGACAATTCCTGAGGGAGATCGAGATCACCGCCCTCAGGCTCTAAATGAGCGAATTAGGAACTTGGAGCGCAGTTGATCCTCACTGGAAACAATCATCGTGATCGAAATCACGAATTTCGTGATTATGACCACCGACCACCAGAAATAGGGGGCATTGACGATCTCCGAGGGATCAAACTTAGCATTCCCTCGTTTCAAGGAGGCCTCAATCAGTATGAATACTTGGATTGGGAGCGAAATGTGATCTTGTTCTTTGATTGCCACAACTACACTGAGGAGAAGAAGGTAACACTGGTTGCGTCGAATTTGGAGGTGATAGAACGTTAATTAAACATGTTTTTACCCCTGTTCTTACACCGTTTGAGATGTGATTTCTCGTGTTTTAGGCCGATTTCACGCTAGGTTGTGCTTGTTTGTGATATTTCAGGTCCTAGTATGTGAATGGAGGCTTGGGAGCGAGTTTGGGGTCGATTGGACGAAGATCGGGCGCGAGGCAAGTCAAAAAGAAGGCCACACGGGCACACCCACAACTCACACGGCCGTGCAACTCATATTTGTGGCCGTGTGAGATTGTGCGAGAGCAAACACGGCTTGCCCTGATATCCACACGGCCGTGTGAAGGAGTGGCCTGGCCGTGCGAGTTTCGCCGAGAGCAAACACGGGCAGATGGAAATCTCACACGGCCGTGCGACCCTGGCCGTGTGAGAAGCCTGAAGATCGAATTAATTGGAACGCAGTGTTTTGACTCACATGGGCAACTGGGTATGCCACACGGCCGTGTGGCCCTGCCCGTGTGAGTCGGGAATTCCTGGTTTTAACCCAATTCCGAGCTGCAAGAGAGAGAATCGGACTTTTTGAGCAAAAACAGAGCCCTAGAGAGAGAAAGGACGAAGAACACATCCTAGAAGCCATCTTGGAGCTGGGTTTCATCAAATCAAGCTTGGGGATCGTCATAGGAGTGGAAATCATCATCCCAGAGGAGATTCTTCCCATAAGTATGAGTATGACTGCTTTGTATCTTGTTTTCTTCTCTCTCTCTCTCTCTCTATGGAGTAGAACCCCTCTCTCACTTGGGGATGAAGAACCCTAGTTCTATGTGTTAGGGATTGATTGTAATGACTTGGGATGATATTACTGTTTGATTTTAATCGAATGATGCATGTTTATTGAGTCAATTAAAGTCTGATCAACTTTTCCTGATTCCTGCTGCAATCTGAGATAGATAGAATCTGATTAGGTTGCTAGAGTCTCATCATTCGATAGTAGGAGATTGGCTATACGAGAGTTAGCCAGTTTACTGCTTTGTACTGGAATCCAATTCCAGTAGTGGAGTTCTGTTCTTACTGCTTCAGCTTTCTATCCCGGTGAAGACTAGTCGTCTGCCGGGTAGTTAGACTGAGAGAGCTTGGTCAGCTTAAGAGATTCCAAGCTACTGTCGGATCTTCCGCAGTCTAATCAACAGTAAATCAACCCAGGGAAATACAATTGAAACCTAACTAAGGAGCTAGGGGGACTCATTCCCGAGTGACTCTTACCCGCTTGAGAAAACCGAATAATTTCCTGCTTTCTTTCTGCTTTTGCTTTTAAACAACAATCACTTACTTTAGTTGGCTAGATAATAGAGAATCACTGAGTAAGCAGTAGATCTAGACCCCGGGTTGATAATATAACTTGCCTATTACTGCATTCCCGGTCTGCGATTACACTTGGTCGCAGATTGGTGTTGTGTTTTGGCATGTCAAGTTTTTGGCGCCGTTGCCTGGTATCCCTCTAGGTTATTGGGGAAACGTGAGAATTTGTTACTCTAGCTTTTTATTTACTGCATTTTATCTCTTCCACCTGTGTGCCTTCACGGGTTGCTTCTGCTGATTGTGTGCAGGTAGTGCATGACCCGTAGCCAGTCGGGAGATCTACTACCACTAGACCAGGAGCTTGAACGAACCTACAGAAACTTCAAGCGGGCTCTAAAGGCGCGACTGGCTGCGGAGGAGACGCTAGCACAGCTACAGATCACTGAAGAAGAGGAGATGGTCGATCCACAGGGCCATGTTGTGGTCGATCCCGAGGAGCAGACCATGGGACATTACTGGACCGCCAGGGCTGCAGACATGAGGTCACCCATTCAACACCCTCATGTCCCAGCCAATAATTTTGAGGTGAGCACCTCAGTAATCACCATGCTGCGCGGTTCGGTGATGTTCCGTGGTAAGGAGGGGGAGTGTCCCCGATCACATCTCAGGAGATTCCACGAGCTCATTGATGGAATCAAGATCAATGGGGTACCAGCAGATGCCATCCAGCTGAGGTACTTCCCATTCACCCTGGAGGGGCAGGCCAAGGAGTGGCTAGATACTCGACCTCCAGGCTCTATCACCACGTTCGCCAACCTGGCGGACAAGTTCCTCACCCGCTATCATCCTCCATCCAAGACAACTGACCTGCAGAAGCAGATCACCCACTTCACCCAGGATGAAGATGAGACCATCCGGGACGCCTAGGAGAGATACAACAGCCTCTTCCTGAGGTGTCCCAATCATGGTTTCAATGATGCTTTCAAGGTGGGCACCTTCTATCACGCCCTCTTCCCGGAGGACAAGCAGCTGATTGATTCGGGTTGTGGTGGGAACATGCTGACCAAAACACCGACACAGCTGAATCAACTCTTTGAGGAGATGGCGGAGAACGGGTACGATTGGGGCACTGCTAGGAGATCGAGACAAGCACCAGGTCGGGGTGTGCATGCTGTGGGCGCCCAGTCATCTGATTTGGTGCAGGTGGTATCAAAGCTGGTTTCAGCTATCGATCGTTCTGGTTTGATTGCAGGTACCGGACAGCAGCAGGCTATGCTCTGCCAGTGGTGCGAGAGCACCCATCATACAGTGGAAGACTGCCAGGCGATGAAGGAATCGACCACGCCCTAGGAGCAGGTGAACTTCATCAACAATGTCAGGCGCAATGACCCCTACAGTAACACCTACAATGAGGGGTGGCGCCAGCATCCCAACTTCTCCTGGGGTGGGGCAAATTCCAGACCACCAGTCCCCCAGGGACCACCGGGCTTCCAGAGGCCACCATATCAGCCCAGACAGGGGCAATTCCAGCAGCAGCAGTCTCTCTACCAGCCCATGCAGGGGCATGCTGCTCTATCACAGCCGCGACCTTTCCAGCAGCCAGGTGCAGCCCCTGCCGCCCCAGTGCAGAATGATCAGATGGCTGAACTGCGGGAATTGGTGGGTTCTTTCGCCAGTTCTAGTGCTCAAAAATTTAACACTATCGAGCAGTTCATGGAAAAGGCATCGGGTAAATTCCTGGCTCTTGAAGCTGGCCAGAGGAACACACAGGCTGTCTTGCAGGATATCCAGACCCAGCTGGGGAGTGTGGCTCAAGCAGTGGCCCAAAGGGCTCCTGGTACTCTACCCGGTCAGACCATCCCTCTTCCTCAAAACCCGAATGAGCACTGCAATGCCATCATGACAAGGAGTGGCAAGATGACTGTTGATCCACATGCTCGGGCACAAGAGAGAGAGGCCCCTGCCTCGGCATCTCCAGCAGCTGAAGAAGAAGCAGAGAAGGAGGTTGAGGTGCCTGCACCTAAACCGCAACCAGTAGTGAAGGAGTATATCCCTAAACTCCCCTTCCCTACTCGGTTGCACAAAGACAGGGTGGAGGCAGAGTTCGAGAACTTCATGGCCATGCTTAGGAAGCTGAATGTCCAAGTACCTTTCCTGGAGGCACTATCTCAAATGCCTAAGTATGCGAAGTTCCTGAAGGATCTTCTCTCAAAGAAGCAGAAGCTGAGCGAGCTGGCCACTGTGGAGCTCAGCGAGGAGTGCTCGGCCATTCTGCAGAACAAGCTTCCGCAGAAACAGAAGGACCCAGGTAGTTTTACTATCCCGTGCTCTATAGAGAATTTGCATGTAGAGAGGTCCTTGGCGGATTTAGGTGCTAGTATCAATGTTATGCCATATAAACTGTTTAAGAAACTAGGCCTAGGTGAACCCCGTGCTACTAGGATGAACCTTCAATTAGCTGACCGATCTGTCGTGCATCCTAGGGGCATAGTGGAAGACCTTCTGGTTAAGGTTGGCAAATTCAATTATCCTGTTGATTTTGTGATTTTGGACATAAATGAGGATGTGGATGTGCCATTGATACTGGGAAGGCCTTTCCTGGGCACCGCCAAGGCCCTCATAGATGTGCATGATGGGACCTTAGTTCTGAGGGATGGTGAGGAGCGAATAACTTTTTCAATTTCTAATACTCTTCCTGCTTCGTCACCTCTGCATGCTGTATCTCAC